GTGGCATTTACCTCGTTTGCGTTCGCGGTTTCTACCGGAGGAAGCGTGAACGACGTCGTCTGAGACGTAGCCAGCACCGTCTTCCACGGTGTTTGAGTCATGAACGGTGTGATCGAATTGAGATAGATTGTTCATACTGACGCTTTTTCTGAAAGAAGACGAAGAAGCTTCCGTGACTCGGACGCCGAATAGCATGATTCCTTTTCCTCCTCCGCCGGAGGATATTTCCGTTGGACACGTTCGAGAGTTGTGGCCGTTGTTTCCACACTGTGAGCAACTACGAGACATCTTTCACGAGCCAAGAAGCTGATCAGAACGAAGGAGAGAGAGAGGAATAAAACTACTTTTATGTTTGTTTTGAGCTCACCATAAAAGATAAAATAAAAGCTTGACCGTTCTGTTCTGTGTTTTTAATCTCAAATGGTGAAATGACTATCTATCTGTCTGTCCAAAATAATCTTGTATATATAAATATCGTTTTAGTTTTTTATTTGTTTTTTTATACGTAATAAAAAAAAAATTAGTATTTTCTCTTTTCATTGGTCCAAACAAAAAAGAAGAAACTCACTTTTCATTGACTTCATATATTCATCCAAACACTTTGTTTGGATTGATTAGTAATCTCTATCTGCCTTAAATTTTATTAAAGCAAACGATTGCATGTCGCGATTGGAAGAGGTGGTTGAGAAAAAGTATAGACTTCGAATGGTGATAACGCGGTGTGAGATAGAATATGCGTGGACGATCCGAATGATAAAAATGAAAACACATATGTTTAGTGTTAAGGGCAAACCATCCTTTTTGAAGCTTATAAACAAAACAAAACAAACTAAATTGAGGAAAAATAATCAGAGTTGTAAGCGATTCAATAATCCTTTAATTCTAGTTGTTAAGCCAGCTTTAGTCGAGCTCAGACTAGGTCAAAATTAAACCAAGTTTGGAAAACCAAAACATCACTCGAACTAAACAAAAAAAGCCATTGATTGAAATTAGATTCCAATATGAAACCAAAACCATGCCAAACCAATTTTATACTCTATCGCTTTTAGTTTGATAGCTATTTATTCATAAACCGCACAAATTTGAATAATCGAAACCAAAACCGTATCGAAATTCGGGTTGGACATTCAAATCTATATATAAATTGTCTAATTGGTCGATGATTTTTTTTTTTTTTTTGGCTGGACAAAATTGGTTGACGATGATGTTGGCAACATATCGGAAAATCTCACATTTACCATATCAAATCATTTTGTATAGTCGAAATTTTCAACACTAATACTAATGTAATATTTTTTTAACACTTTATATTAATAAATCTGATTTAAAACATTACATCATAAAAAAAACTCGATAAATAAAATACAAAAAAAAAATTAATGGTATTTTCTACATCGGAAATTAAGTGTAGACAACCATCTTTGATAACACATTAGCTATACTAAAGCAGTTTTGTTTCGAATCTAAAGTAAACAATTAGGTGTTTCCGTATCCACAATATCAATCGGATTTCTAAAATTTTTTACAATAAAATGAAAATAATTCTCTTAATTTAGATTTATTAAAATAAAATGGTAAAAAAAATGTAAATTTGTTTTATTACCATCGCCAATCCATTGAGTCGAAACGTGGGCATATTTCGACCGATTGAAGAAAAAAACAGAGCTGTTCGTATCATCCATCGTATGTAATGTATCCATATGGATCCGTTGTCGTTACGTATATAACTATTTTAAATTTCTGTGGCCAATGGTTAGCTTCGTGGACTTTTGTGAATAGTATAAGTTAATGAAATGTTAGTGCAAGTTACGAGAAACCTTTGTAGATGAAGTTTTTTATTTATTTTAATTTGTCGACGAGAGTATGAAGTTTCTGAGAAGATTACTGTAAAAAACATTTTGCATTAAAAACAAT